AAGGAATAGGAGATTCGAAAAGTGTATGTGTTACAAGAGAATTTATTGGACAAATACACTAATGATACAGTATAGGAAGTACAGATATACATACACATATGGTTTACAAAAGATTAGCAATGACAATACCATTAGAGATACATTAAAATATATCACTACAATATAATATACGTGTAGTATGTTACATGCGCTACCACTTTGGACTTTTATTTTTCCAAAAGACTTTTTAACAACTTAGTTTTTAAGGATATATTAGGAGGAGTGTGATGGAGATATAGGAAAGAATAGGAGATTCGAAAATTGAGTAGAAACGTTTGATGGCAACAGAAAGGGAAGATGTTGTTGATGGGAAAAAGATGAAGATTATCAAAAAGAAAGAGTGAGAAACAAAGATGGTAACGATTGAAGAAACAAAGAAAATGTGTGAACCGTGTGCACGAGAACCAGATTATTCGGGGGGAACAACAAATGAGAAAACTCGAAAAAGTAGGAAAATTAAGAAGTTTAATAAGGAAAGAGATAAGTAATAAAATAAGAAATGAAGGATAAAGAAATAAATATAGAAAAAGATAAAGGTTGAAAATGGATATGAGGGGTGTTTCCAAGATACCAGTATAGGAGACTGGCTCGAGGAAGAATGAGCGAACGAGAAGACAGAAGGGAAGATAGAAATAAAGAAGTTAAAAAGTAGAAAAGTAAAGTGAGAGGGAACAGAGTAAAACGAGATGACAGAAAGGAAGATAGAAGTGAAGAAGTCAAATGTAGAAAAATAAGGAATAGAGTTATAAAAGTAGATAAGAAACGAGGAAAGAGATAAGTGAGAAAGTAAAGAATGAAGGATATTGTATTAAATATAAAAATAGAAGAAGGTTGGAAGTGAATATGAGGGGTATTTCCAAGAGACCAGTATAGGAGACCGGCTCGAGGAAGAATGAGCGCTCCGAGTCCGGGCACTGCCTCGCGTGCCCCCCACCATCCGCCTGCTCCCACTCACCGAGTCCTGCGTGAAAAATTTGCGCGCACACAATTTTGGGCAACTTCCAGTACTTCTAAATATGCTTTTCCATATATATGCAGAGTTTTAAGTGTTAATACTTTAATATTGTAATTAATTATTTTAATGTCTGAAATAACATCTACTGAACAATTAATTAAAAATGCTGAAAGATCCGTCGATCTAGAATTAAAACGCGATCATCAGCTCGATCCAGAATCCTTTTTAATGTACATCTATGTCGACTTTATGTCCTAGGAGTCCCGGGTAGCTACGTTTGTACAATACAGATCTACCAGTTATTAATTACTTACGAAACTCATTGTCAATAAGACAGAACTGCTTCCGTCTTCCTATCCTCGCTATACTTATAACTAATAGCTATTCTTAAACGACTATAAGTAAAGTTCAATTAATTCATATACTTATCTATTTACAACCTACGTACAAACAATCTAATTCTTTAATTTTACTCAGAGGCATTTCATTAGTACTAAAAATTTTCAAATATATATTTTGTACATAAACTCTAAGCAGCCGGAACTCAAGGTAGATACACTTATTGATGTGTCTGATCGCAAATGATGTCTCAAGCGGCACCTCGAAGCTGAATTATCATTTGTGTATGTACACATATTTTTATTTATTTGAACGTTAGTTTCACTGTATTCTTAATACCGTCACATGGATCCTCTGTGTATAAGAGAAATAGATCAAGCGTCTGAATATATGGAATATTATAGAATAGAATATGCCTGTTCAACTAGAATCCGAATGATTAAGCTTTAAAAGTACATAGAGTCATAATAATATGAGCTAATGCTATGTTTACCGAAGGAATCATCCTCCATGGATATAAGTATCATGACAATTTATCATAAGAATTCTAATTTGATAGTAGGCAGTACTCCAAGTGCCGTTCCTCATTAGTCAAACATTATGATTGATGTGTAAATATTGTAATTTTAAACTGGTAAAACCGAAAAACTTTAATATTTTCACCCTAATACGTTATTATGAATTCTATAATGATTATCAATTCAAAGGCCCTGTTTACTGTGCTTTTTAAATAAAATATTCGTTACTTTAATTGCTCAGCACCTTTGTTACATAATATTGTAAATTATAGTTTAATTAAATCAACACGCGACTTTTCACAAGCGACACTTATCCTGAATCCTATTGATTGTCACGTTATGATCAAAAAATAAACTTTCGAATGCTGCTAGTATAATTTATAACTATTGAAATTTCACTTTTATAATTTTATCGTTGATTGTCACTACATTGTTCCTACCAGATAGGTATTATGCACCGAGTGATTTCAGATCGATTGACGAGCGAAACATAAACGGATCTGCATGCTGAATATATTGAGATTAAATCAACGAATTTACAAAGAGTTGGAGACTAACAAGGACTGCAATCGATAATTCCATTAATCTTAAAAACTCCTTATTGTTAATTAGAGATTGCTGTTTATAGTAACCTATTCATCAAATCTACCGTTACTTATTTCTATTTACCTTCTATTTTATTTATTTGCAGCACCTTTGATAGACGATTCCGCTTGTCTCTACCTGAAATTCATAGTTATTCAAACATGTAATTTTCTCTATTTTAATAAACTGTGCCAACACAAATATTCTTCGTGTGAT